TTTAAAGTAATAACATTGCCTTCATACTAGTTAAACATTTAAAAAAATATATTTTTTATTGTCAAAACATTGTGTCTTCCTCTGAAGTTGGAGTAGAGGTAGATGTCGAACTTGGAGGCACACAACTTGTGTCCTTATCCGAAGGACAATCCAATGACAGCATGCTAATATTCATATCAAGTTCCTCAGAGTGTGATTAACTCTGTGCTGGCTCATCCTACAAGAAACAGACAGGATATCCAATTTGTGTATTTTAATTATAAAAACAGTGTTTGAAGTCATTCTTTATTATATTGTAAACATTTTATTCCTTGTCAAATATGACTACTAACTGATTTATCTGAACGTATGGGGGGGAAAGCAATGTATGTCCCAGATGTAGATGGACATATACTGCTAACTGCTTCTGGACTAGTCAGCGTCAACATATCCATGAGACTGTATGTGCTGTATTTTGCAGAAAAACCTGGGCTGTTGAAGACAGCATATAAGGAAAAGATAGCATTTTTATATTTCAATCTATGTAAAAAAAATTTTTTAGAATTAACTTATTTTAATTACCTGTCTGCTCTCCCATCCCCAGATAAATGCACTCCCTTCTGGTGTGTATTTTGAATGTGCATTTCATCTAAAATTTCTCTCTGTTTCTCTCTGTATACAGCGTCAACTACAGGAATTAGATAAGATGACTGCACTGCGTAGTAAGTGGTTTTCTTCGGCACCTGTAAGTTCATTAATGCAGCCCAATCAGCAATGTCGCTGTATGTGGCTCCAGTGAAAAGAACACTTGAAGATACCAGAAGATTATTTAAAGGCATTCCCCGAACATCCGCACAAGAATTCCAATGCCCCTTGTGTCCTTTTTCACATTCCCATTTCACTTGTAAGAGACTCCCTGAGGTTAATTTTTGGGTTTCTTTTATTACTGATCCACATTCCTGACATCTTTTGAACAAGTCCATCATATTAGACTCCCGTGTGAGGCACGTTTTACTATGGATGTATGCGTTTAATTTGATTTGTTTTGGACTGATGACCTGCAACACCCGCTGAGTGCCATTCTAAAGCTTGAAAGATCAAAAACATTTTTTAATATAACTCCGACTGGATTCGTCTGAAGGAAGAAAGTCATATACTGCATGCATGCCTTGACGGTGAGTAAAACATGGGCTAATTTTCATTTTGGGGTGAACTAACCCTTTAAGTGTTATCACAGTACCGCCGTGATGTTATGCAAAACATTTTGTTTTACGTGGATATTGGAACGCAAGTGAAGTACATAAATAATAATTTGCTATTCAAATACATCGCGAATATGGAAACATTTGGTTTTGTGTGGAATGAGAGAACCAACGTTGGTTTCAGTTTCGTTTTGGCTTGTCGTGTATATTGCTATAGCTTCTTATATTTTTCATTACTGTTATTTTCTAAATTTTTTATACGCATAGCATATTTTAACCATGCAGCAAACCTTTTTAAATATTTTGATAAATTACTGAAAAAATAAATAATTAAATGACTTTTAAACCGTTTAACTGATTGTATTAATCAGTCAAAATTCTTACCGTCGGTTAAACGGTTAAAATGAACATCCCTAAAGTCTACATACACAAGAAAGAAGAGCAGTCTTAATTGGTAAGACAACATTTAAGATAAGAGACAAAATAAATAAATTAATCAACAGTTCAAGTTATCTTCCTTTTTTCTTAGGACAAAAAACAAGGACTACAGTGGGGGAACTACACGAGAAAAAAAATTTCCTCCATAAAACTTAACAGTATGTCATTCTTTTTGTTATTAATTTGCATTAGAGGCTTTTTCAAAGATTCAATTTCTAATGAAAATAAATTACATTTTGGTAAGCATTTTGCAAATTTCTGTTTATGAATGTATTATTTACCTTGCAAAATGTAAAAGTTAACGACATACTGTACTCAATCATTTTGCTTTTGTGTGAATAAGAGCAAATAACATATTTTAATTAAAGAAAGCATGTAATTAACATTTCTTTGCACAAATAAAAAGGCACTAACATCAGACCAAAATCTATAAGAATGAATTAAGAGAAAGCTACTTTACATGAATACATTTTGTGAAGTATTTTGAAATGTACCTCTTTAACTTTGTTCAAAATACAAAATTTGTAAGGAATTGACCAGGCCGCTTTGCAATTAATACCAGAATTTTTTTCATTCCAAAATAATTTCCCTCTAGGGGAGATTGTATGTTTTGATTGAAAAATGTGTCTAATATTTGTATTATCACAAGAGGAAGTAAATATTTCAATTATTTTATTAAATTATTATTTCAACTATTAACTCTCGAAGTGTCCTTTCATTACTTCCAAAGGTGAGGTGATTATGTAATAATTGTATCAACACATTTGGAATAGCTTTAACAACTTGTTGGAATGTGAAAGTTGTAAAAATGCATAAAGTCTTCATAAGACAGAGTGCTTCCATTATCATAGAACAGATCCATAACAAAATATATATTCCTTTCAAACCACTTGTGCAAAAATAACGATTTATTCCTAAAAGTAATGAGACAATTCTTCCATAACAGCATTGTATGCGGAGAAAAGTTGTGATGGAAACACATTTTCCAAGCCAATAACGCTTGCTGGTGAAATTTAGATAATTTAGTTGACAATTAAGTTTAAAGGGGTCATATGATGCGATTTCAATTTTTCCTTTCTCTTTGGAGTGTTACAAGCTCTTGGTGCATAAAGAAGATCTGTAAAGTTGCAAAGACTAAAGTCTCAAATCCAAAGAGATATTCTTTATAAAAGTTAAGAGTCAACCACGCCTACCTAAAACGGCTCGTTCTAACACACCCCCACATACCTACGTCACGATCTCGGAAGATTTGCATAACGCCGCCCAAACGTTCACGCAAAGAAAGAAGGCGTAACCGGCCTCCGCTCACTGGAGACTAATAACACCTCTATGAAAGCGCCCTGAAGGTGTTTAACCCTCAAATGGTCCTCATTTAATGTTTACACTTATGGTCTTTGGGGTCAATATGACCCCAAAATTGAAAGAGTAATTGTAAAAAATATAAACATTTTTAATCATACAAATAATATATCTTTTTTTTTGTTTACTTCTCATCTATACATTAATGCTGTGTTTTGGGAGATTTTACCACAGAATTCCGCAACTACACCATTAGCGTGCATGTGAAATATTATTTTTTTATGAAAAAATCACTTAAATGATGATCTAAATTTAATTTAAGTTGTTTCTGGATATTGATCCAGGTGTTAGGTGTAGAATTCTGCCATCTTTTGGTTAGAGATAAACCTAACATTATTACAGTTTAGGAAATAAATTGTTTTGACCAGCAGAGGGCCATTGAGAGCCATTCATTTTACTGGATGTGGCCAACTACTCTTATCATTTACATTTACATTTACATTTAGTCATTTAGCAGACGCTTTTATCCAAAGCGACTTACAAATGAGGACAATAAAAGCAGTCAAAACTAAACATAAGACACACCTAAAGGACAAGACTTAGAGTCAGAATGTAGTTGCATATTATTGATTTTACTGTAGTGATTAAAGTGTTAACAATAGTTAACTTTAGAATATAGAAAAAAATTCAATATGTAAATAAAGCCAACAACAATATGCAGAAACCAACAGGAGTGAAGAGTGAACATCAAATAACAATAACAATTTTACAATCACGTTCTGTGGCAATCATACCTGTGTGTGTGTGTGTGTGTGTGTGAGAGAGTGAGAGTGTAAGAGTGTGTGTGTGCGCGTGCATTAGGTCTCACCCCCAGGAATGTGAACTGCTCTCAGCAAGAGAAGTTTGCCCTGGGACCACACAAGGATCTGGTACACTAGTTTGTACAAACGGGGTGAGCGCAGACCTCCCTGGTGGTTGATGTAAGAGACCATCGCTGTGTTGTCGGTGCGCACCAACACATGGTGACCTCTTAGGTCTGGGAGGAGTGTCTTAGTGCACGAAGCACAGACAGCATCTCCAGGCAGTTTATATGCCATGTCAGATTGTGACCACTCCACAGACCGTGGGCAGGGTGGCCACTCATGACCGCACCCCAACCGGGGAGGGATGCGTCCGTCGCTAGCATTACGTGGCGACAAGGATCTCCCAGCACCGGGCCCTGAGACAAGAGCCAAGGTTTCCTCCACATGTCCAAGGCACGTAGGCATCACCGTGTGACCTTGATCATGCAAAGCTACAGCAGGCCAATAGGTATCACGTTGGACGCAGCTGCCATCAGACCCAGCAGTCTCTGGAACTGCTTGACAGTGAGTGACCGGCCTTCTCTGACTCTCGTGACTGCGGTGAGGATCGACTCGATCCGACCAGGAGACATAAGGAGGAGAACCGAACTGGATTCTGTGGCCTCTCACTACAGTGTGCAGGACCCACTGAGACACGTTTGGCAGTAGTTTTCACGCTGCCAAATAGTCTACTAAGGGAATCAGTCTCTCGAGATTGACCTCTGGTGTAACCAGAGCGGCTAGCTCAGTGCCCTGAAGCGGCAGACCGGCAGGGGACAGGCCGTAACTGAGAGAGCGCTCGCCGGAGACCGCTGCGCCCTGGAACAACGGCAGGGTTGGCAGACTGATCTCCTGAGGGCACTGAGGATAGACGGGCACCGTGTAATGTGGAGACGGGCACCGTGTAATGCGGTGTACACCGCTCTTCCCCAGAGGGGCCTGCCCTCCGAGGTCCTTAGCCACAGCATAGCTGAAGTCTCCTATTGAAAACGACGGCCCTCAGACCCACGTTGTCTGCTAGGAAGATTAGACCAGAGCCTGCTCGGGGCAGGACCCAATGAAACACACTTGGCAGGGGCTCCCACACCGCCAGGTGACGTCCTAAGGGAACCAGTCTCGCGAGAATGGTCTCTGGTGCACCTAGAGCAGCTAGCTCGGTGCCCTGAAGTTGTAACTTCTCATAGTCAGATAAATACTTCATTTTATTCCTCAGAATTAAATGCAGTCAAACAACCAGACGAGTAAATACAGTCTGATGAGTAAGATTCACATCAAAAACCGAATTATGTAATATACGCGTTGCCTCAGCAGCGCGCGAGCCGATCAGTCACACAAACAACATCAATCTCCTCAGAGAAAGATGGCCGCAGCAGCGAGCTCTTACTCAGAGGGGGAAGAAACCGCAGCACGGGCTTTCAAGCCTCGAGAACGAGCTCTAGATCTAGAGAACACGGGTGGAGATAGGACGAGCCGTCTCCAACCCGTCCGCCAGATCATGTGTGATCCCCGCGATCTCAGTCGCCGCCGTGCCTCAGCAGCAGCGGGACCGCAATCGCAAGATCACAGGCACGGACACACTCCTCTGAGCGTGCCCGGCGAGAGCGGAGCGCTTAACAGCGGGAAAAGCACAGTTCGCCCCCCCGAGAGCCGACTGCGCGAGCGCCGCTCCCCATTAATGCTGCTCATTATAATATCAGTGTATGATGAGGAAGGATGGAGATATGTGCATATCAATGCTTGTGTAACTGATGCTTGTGCAACTGACGAGCTCTTTGACGCCCTCCGTATCAATCTCCTCGGAGAAAGACAGACGGAGCGTCGCGCCCTCTCCCCAGGGGGAAGGACTGCAGCGCGGGCTTCCGAAACCCCGAGAGCGGGCACCGGATCTGGTGGTTAAGGAAGCAGATAGGGACTCGCCCATCTACATTCCCTCCACCGGATCCATATTCGAAACCAGGCCTTCAGCTCCCTTTTTTTTCCGAGAGCTGACTCTGCGTGCTTGCTCCCAAGCAGACAACAAACAAACTGTGTGTATCCCCACCCATAAAGTAATGCGGGCAGGGGGGAACACACAGCCTGAACGCTGCCTGCCCTGGCCTTAGGTGTTTGGTTTTGTCTTGTGATTTTGTGACAGACAACACTAAATAAGACTCACAAACAGATATCAGACTGACACACACACAGAGAGCGCTTGCTGAATGACAGAAAACTGACGCCGGTTTCACCGCACGTGCTTTTAAGCTTCCTGGTCGCTACGTCACCCCGCCCATGATGTCTTTTTTTTAGGTTGAATTGAAATCAAATACTGCCATACTGACCTTAATGCTTCTGATTGTGATGTCTACTTCATAAATATTGAGAAATGTATGGAAAAACATGTTTCAGATCACTCAAACCATATATGGAAATGAAGGCGCCCTTAAATGGTTACTAATGGGGTTTGATGGTCATCTAGTGGAAAAGCTAATTTTTTGAGATAACCTCAAATTTGGAACATAACTTGTTCAGAATTTTGGTTTAGATTTTTTTTTTTTTTGCAGTTTTAGAGTAAAACATGTTTTGTAAAATATATATTTTATATAAAATATAAATATTTACATTATTACATTTTATATTTTCATAAACTTAAACTTCCATAACTTTTTTGTTATATTATCTTTATAACTTTTTGTCACTTCTGCAATAATCTGCCAAGTGTCAAAAAGAGACCAACCTTAAGTCTGTGGTCCAAAGCATTCAAAATGTATAACAGTTTAAGTTGGAAATGTAACTTTCAGGTCTATGCTGAAAAAGTGGAACCGACAGTTAACAGGTTAAGTTGGAAAAGCTCTCTCTCTCTCTCTCTCTCTCTCTCTCACACACACACACACACACACACACACACATTTGCTTAGCTATCTAAATGGGAACATTACACAGACTTCTATAGTTTTTTTTTATCTACAGATAATTATACATTTTACAACCTAACACTAACCCATCACAGAAAACTTTACATCTTACAAAATAAATAAATAATTAGTATGATTTATAAGTAATTTTCTCATTTACACTAGTTTTAGTCATCGCTAAAAATATAAAAACGTTGTACATTTTACCAGGATCGGGAAAAATATATATATTTTAACAGGCCAAACGATAAGGACTATTGGGGGCCCCGACATGTCCGAACATGTCAAAGTCATGTTTATGGAGACTTTACATTGACAATTCAATTCAATTCAATTCAATTCAATTCATGTTTATTTGTATAGCTTTTCACAAAACAAATTGTTGCAAAGCTGTTTCACAGAAAATTAAAGTTTCTACATCATATTTATATTTACATTATATAGTATCATACCCTAAACCTACCATCACAGTAAACTTTCAGTTTTTTTATATTTTCAGATACATCATTTAGCATAATAATTTATAATTTAATTTATAATTTAAAAAGTTGTTATGATCATGGGACAAATTATAGTATCATACACTAAACCTACAATCACAGTAAACTTTCTACGTTTTTTTATATTTTCAGAAACATCATTTAGTATAATAATTTATAATTTAATTTATCATTTAAAAAGTTATTATGATCATGGGACAAATTTCACACAGGTCAATAATCATTTGGAGTATTTCTATACATCTGGTTTGCGGGGACACTCCATAGACATAATCTTTTTTTTTACTGTACACACTGTACACCTACCATCACACAAAAAAATTCTGCATATGCTTACATTTTTAATTAAATATTGTTTTAAATGATCTGAACTATGAACTCAATCAATTTCATCATAAACCACATTTTCAATTCAATTCAAATGAACCCCGAATGTTATCAGGAAGGCTATTCCAGAGTTTGGGAGCCAAATGCGAAAAAGCTCTACCTCCTTTAATGGACTTTGCTATTCTAGGTACTACCAAAAGTCCAGAGTTTGCGACCTTAGAGAGCGTGATGGATTGTAGCGTAGTAGAAGACTAGTTAGGTACGCAGGAGCTAACCCATTAAGGGCCTTGTAGGTACGTAATAATATGCTAAGATGGAAGAATGCTGTTTTTGTAGCATGGGAAATATGATTTTCAAGAAGTTGCTGTCTAATATAACACCCATATGTTTGACTGTAGAGGAATTAACAGTACATCCGTCTAGTTGCAAATTGTAATCCAAGAGATTGTGTACCGTTTTTTTTTTTTCTGTTAGCTTAGATAATTTAGAAGTTTCATCTGGTCTCGTTGAGATCAGTTGATGATAGTTGAGTATCCTCAGCATAACAGTGGTGTAACGGAGCTGACGAGGCGTGAGGATCCATGTGCAAGCTTTTATTTAGAAACATGGTCAGAACACAGGCAGGGTCAAACAATGGCAAACAGGTATGGTACGGGCAAGACACAAGAATAAACCAAGAGCAGACAAGGATCTCCGATCAGCAAACGACATCCAGAGGGTTAGACAGAGAGAGATAATCTAGGTACACGATAATAGTCCAGGCAGGGGCAAACAGAGTCCAAACGGCAAGACGGAGCAGAAGACCTCCATGGCGGAGCAGACGGCACAGGAGCCCACCAGGGCGGAGCAGACGAAGCAGAAGACCTCCCTGGCGGAGCAGACAGAGCAGGAGCCCACCATGGGCCTAACTCGGGGACATAAGCCCTTCCTGGGCGAAACTGAGGATCTGGAGCACTTCCAGGGCGGTACTGGGGATCAGGATAGCGCTTACATGGTGCTGGCACTGGAGGGTGCTCTGGAGGAGCAGGCACAGCAAAGCGCTTTCGAGGAGCTGGCAC